ACAATTTATACCATAGGAGACACAAGTAAGTTCTCCTCACAGAACAGATTTTTTCACTAATATGTGCAACCAAGCTTACCTTTTTCTGGAAATAATATGCTGCTCATCCAGTTTGTAGAAATTTAGTAGAGTTTAATGAATATTGGTAATTTTACAAGTACTTCATCTTTTACTGCATACATAGGATTATTGCTTTGTATCTGAGTTTTCTCATTCATATTTTGGCAGTAATTTACATTCTGAGAGAGTAACATAAAAGTAAAAAAATTGTAAACTTTTTTAACTAATGCGTGAAATTCAGAAAAAGTGAATTTAGCAAAGGGTTATGAGAAGCTTTCAGAGGGTTAAAAATTTTGATAGGTCTGTAAGTTCAGGAAAAGAAATGACTGTAATAGTGGTTTATAATGTTTAAAAACTGTTTTATGTCTTTTATTTCCAAGTCCAGTTTTACATACACTGCTAGCATGAAAGGGCAAGTATTCTATTAAGAAATATAATGTTTTTTTTTTTTTTTTTTTTTTTTTTTCCCCCAACAATTTAATCCGCAGCTTTATTATGTTAGCAAAAAGTGTGAGATCCATTTGTAAAAGCAACTGTCAGGGTTCGTAGCAGTCTTCTGATTTCAGAAATGTTCCTCTTTTTATTTGAAAATAAAATATAAAGGCTCTTATAGTCTTTATATTTGAAAATAAAATATAAAGGCCCTTACAGGTGCTTACTTTTTCTTTAAAGCCCTTATTTTTTTGTTTTTAGTGCTTATTTTTTGCTTTTAGTGCTTTTTTTTAATGAACGTGCTATTTTTTCCCGTACCGAAGCCGAAACTAAATAAACAACTTTTCTTCCTAATATGGAATGTCAGATGGTAAATCATACTCCCGGAAATAGCTTTTCCCCCTTTCTCTGCATTAACATTACCTTTGGTGTGCACGAAGAGTACAGACAGGTGCCCGTCGTTCTATTGGTCAAAGAATTGTGAAAGCAGTAGAAAATTCCCGTACATTCGGCATTCTTTTCCTCCCACCCAAATACTACACACGTTTGAATTTCTATCAAGATCTTAAAAATTTGCATTCTCGTTCTGCTTGGTCAGTTCATATTCATGTTAATTATGATCGTTATGCTTATATTATGAGCATATGTATGAATGTTTATAATAACATAGTTGCAGTAACTGCGTAAGTATAGTAAACTTCCAAAAATGGTTGTGTTTTAACACAGATTAACTTTCTAAGGAATAATATTCGGAATGGCTTAAATAAAGGGAAAGTAATCGAATAGTAAAAATAATTTCATTTTTTTGGCAAATATATTATACAGTACGAAGGTTGGGAGGTCTCCCCTTTTTCCGCAAAATATTGAAACTGTTACAGTTCGCTGCAAAACATGCAACGGATTTTTTTTTTTTTTGGGTCACTTTCCAATCTGAATTGAATAGGACTAAAAGTTCTGCGGTTGACCAACCCAAGCAAAGAATGATTCTATTCCGGAAATTTAACGCCGTCTGTTGAAAATTAGAATGAAAAACACCCCAGTTATTTAGTTCTTTATTCTCCCAATACCGGCAGTTGTTGATTCCAATTGCGTAATATCACATAGGGAAGAATTACGGCGCACATATTGTGCAATAATGTTTGCGATATTTTGCAGAGATAATTAATTTTGATGTTCAGTCCGAGATTTGTTTTATGAACACTTCAACGAGTTTTACTGTGCTTGCTAAGTAGAATATTTTTTAGTTCCATTGGTTTATTTTTATATGATGTACATATTGAAATGTCAAAAGCATTTATTTAGCTGAAAAATCGAAAGAGTGGCTACAGTCTACCCCCCTCCACTCCTTCAAGTTACACTCGACTGTCCTAATATTCGCCAATTTCCAAGCATGCGGGTTAGTTAAGCTTTTACTGTTAAAGGTGACTGCATGAAGCAAATTTCTGTCTTCTGATTTCAGAAATGTTCCTCTTTTGTACTTAAATTACTTTGCTTGCAATATCTGTTAAGCGAAATCTAATATACAATAAAAATTTAGAAAATATTCAGAATTTAGATTTAAATATCAATATGAGTGGAAAAATAAATTGTATTTATTATTAGGTTCCAAGCATATACAATAAATATGCCTTATTATTATTTATTTTCTCTATTTTGAACTGAAATTTCATCATTAAATCTTGTAATATAGTTTAGTTCTTCATAGTTTTTTTCCATCTCATTGTAAACTAGTTCTGTAAATTGAACTATTATTTAACATTAAAAACAAAAAAAAAAGTAATTATTTGCCATGGTTGAGGTAATGCTTATTCTCTCTTAATAAGTACTTCATTTCTCATATTTTAAATTACAAGTCTAATTTTTAAGGTTATGCAGTTGTGTATGATGTAATTAGACAGGTGCTTATTTTTTTTCTTAAAATGCGCTTGAAAAGTGCTTATAGGTGCTTATTATTTTAACTAAAATGTGTCTATGAACCCTGACAATTCGTATCGTTTCTACTGTGTGTAATAGAAGAAAGATAACTGAGATTTCCACAGCCTCTTCAGAGGCACATGAAAAGTTTTTTTTTAAATTTACTTCAGATGTGAAATAATCTTCATAAAATTTCTCACTTTATTCAGGGAAATTTTACATGTACTTGTTTATGATCCATGTTTAAAATAAAGCCTGGATAGCAGATAATTTTGACGAAAAAGCATGAACATATTTGTAACAGTTTTTTTTTTCTTTATTAAACAGTTAATTTGAATAATTCATGTGTAGGTTTTTTTTTTTTTTTTTTTTTTTTTTTTTTTTTTTTTTTTTTTTAAATTCTGAATTTGTGTTGTTTCTGAAAGTTTTAGAATCTAGAATCCAACATTGAATAGTTGAGGCAACCCAAAGACCAAAATGTTACTGTCCGAATTTGTTTTCTTTCATCAGAACTGACTGCATTACTTTTACTGATAAGATTATTTTTGTGCACATAATATTATGTAATGGAAAATTCAACATTTAGGAAACACCAGTTTCTTCTGAATTATAATTTTGTAAATGCAACTGCTTTAGATCAAATGCAGTCTCCAAAAGACAGTTTAACCCTTTCCGGCATGCAACCTTTTAAAGTCAGAGTTTTGATTTAAAAAAACTTAGGCAGTCTAATTAGGCCTAGAGGAGTACACAAGTAAAATTTTGTGAAGATAGCACTTATCGTTTATTTCTGTGGGTGTGCCCGAAGAGGACAGACTGATTGAATAGAGCTTCGAAACGAGCATTGCTGTCAATGAATTGACTGATGAGATGCAGATAAACAAAGAATACAGACTCAGTTGTCCTGGATTATTGGTGAGCCCGGTCTGGGCACACCTAGGGATCACTGTTTGATTTTAGGCAAGATTTCAAGGTAAAAATTTAAAACTAATATAGAATAAGGAGATTATCATACAGCCAAAAAAAATAACAGAAATTTCTTTTCAAACGATTCCTTTTATACCCTAAAAAAATCTGGAAGTTTTATTTGAAAAATGAGGGCCTTAAAAAACTAAATGTGGCTAAAATGTATGGACTGGTTTGTGTTGAGTTGCCATCTACTATAAATAAAAAAGGTTCAGAGTAACCTATAAATAATTTTTTATTCAATTTTTCTGTGCGTACAGAAGGAAATTTTTAGGTGTGCCCCAAAGGGTTAATTGCATATTTGTACTAGATATTGTAATACTGTCAAATACCAAAAAAGTATGATATGAAACTAACCTTTCATCTAAATTAAAACATCAACAATAGTTTGGCCATTTTTTACGGTCCTCAAAACCGAATACAGTCAAATACCGAAAATCCGCCGACCTGAAATCCACCAACTCCTGAAATCCGCGTTGCCTCTCAAAATATTCAGTTTGTAGGTTCCGGAAACCGCAACATTGAGTATGAAATATCGAAGAAAAAATACTTATCGAATAATGACGTCATAATTACCGATTAATAATGAGTCGCAACGAAAATACCAAATTATTGACATCATGATAAAAGTTTTTTCCACCTCTAATCTGCATCGAGGTAAAAAAGCAGACGATTCACTCAACTCTTCTTTCAAGTTCACGATTCTCATTGTTTTATTTTCTGAGCTTTGTTATTTCACGAGATTATTTGGTGCTGCCTTCTTTTTTTATCCAGATGTTTTGTTGGATAAATTAAGAATATTTTAAATTTCAGCCCTTTTTAATACAGTGACAGATAAGAAACACACTCATGATTTTATTGCTTTCAACGTCGAAAAACGTAAACACGTTACATTGATGGTAATGCAAAAAGTGCAAATTCTGCAAAACATGGAAGCAAATGCTATTCCTCGGTTTATAGCAGAATCATATGGAATTGCCACGCGATTGTGTATGATATACAGAAAAATAAAGAAAAGCTGTTGAAATTTTACAGCAACAGTGATTCTAACTCTGGAATCCGAAGCCGGTAATCTTTGCATGAGGCGAAATCGGCAAACCTCGATGCTGTGTACATATAATAATACAATGAATAATATAATCAATTTATATATGTAATAATAATTTAATGCATATAATAAGTTATTGCAATAATGTATATAATAATTTAATTAAATGTATCTAATATGCCTTATTCATTTTGCACTTTTAGTCTGAATATTATGATTTATCTTTTCTCCTCTGAAATCCGCAAAATCCTAAAATCCGCACAACCTCTGGTCCCAAGCTTTGCGGATTTCTGGACTTCTACTGTAGTGTATTTTTAAGCATTGTGTAATTGAAATCTCATTATTTAATTTCTGTTACATGAATGAAATATTCTGTTGGATCAGCTTACCATTTAACTATATCTTGAAACTCTTCCACTTTTCTAAAATGTAATTTACATTCCCAGATTTTTTAAATTTTTAGGGAAAAAATTTCAGAATTTATGGATAACTTGTAAAAAGTAGTATTTATTTACAATTAAATAAGTTTTAATGTTTTTATTTCTTTAAAAAGTATTAATTTTTTGTCTTTATACTACATAAGCATACCTATAGAAAGGCATAAAGCAGAAATGAGAAGAGCTGCTAATGATGAACATCTGAACACAATAGCAGAAAGGTGAGACTTGAGCATTTGATGACTGTCTTGTATAACAAAACATGTAATTTCCCACATACTGAAATATTTCTAATGTAACCTATATCCCCATGTACTTGCAATATTTTTTTATTATGTAATAAAATGGCCTTGAAAATGCAAAGGAAAAGTTTTTTGATCTCAGAAAGTCCCTATCTTCCAATGTTAACACTGAATATGGAAATGCTAATTGTTTTGAATGTCATGATTTGAATGCCTTTGAACTATTAGACAGTTGAGTTCATTGCATGACATTAAATTAGAATGGTTTATGATAGGCATGTAGACTCACCAGACACATTGTTAATAATTCTTAAAAAAACTGAGTTACAAGTGCAGCATTTTATTTTTCAAAGATTTTCTCCAACCATAGATTAATGCGAAGATTTGTTTATTCTTTTTCACTGTACTGCTTTTTTGAAACCTGAATGCTTGAGTAAATAGAAGGCAAATGATTTAGTGATAGCTTCGGGTTTAGTTAATTTGGTTATTTGAATATGGTAAAGCCATGAGAGCTGTATGGCCAAGATGAGGGGTGCTTTCATGGAGAACTTTCTCTGGAAAGCTGGCTAGTACAGATTCAGGAGGTTTTGAATGAAACATATATTCTTGGTTTTCTTCATTACTGTGAATTAGGTTGTTAGACATCTCATAGGGGCAAAGCTCATGTATTCCTCAGTCCTTATTCTAGCTTGTTTAACAACAAAACAAAGAGATCAAAATGACTGAATTTCACTTTTAGTAGAAATGAGTGTATGTTAATATTTAATAGTTCATTAACCCTCTGAGCGTTACGGGTTTAACCCTGAAATTTCAAAGTTCCTCAAAATGTCACGAATAAGTGATATTTCCTTGATTTTAATTAAAAAATGACTCTTTCATTTTGTACCTTGATTCCTTTTCTTTCAATATACATCCAAACTGAAATCAGATACATTAAAATCTAGCAGAAATTTTCATGTATAATGAATGTGGAAGGCAACCTTCTGTACGGAATTTTCCGGTCGTAACGCTGAGAGGGTTAAAAGATTTCAAAGGAGGCAGCCACCTCAATCCATGGCTAGCTGTGGAACAGATAATACGAGTATATATTGGAGGTTTGCTGATTTGGATGCTCCATTCACTAGTAGATTAGTCTCAATAGTGTCTGAGTAATTAAAGCTGTAGTAGTATGATTGCATTTGAATGGACTGATGCATAAGGTTTCAGTGGATATCCTTATGTTTTTGCTAGAAATGTAGACCAGTTTGTCTTAGAAAAACATCCATGAAGGAATCACTCCTTAGGTGAATAAATATGTAAAGTATAACAAATGCCAATCAAAGTCCAAAATTTGGACTTCCAACTACTAAAATATGCAAACCGCCTATATATATATATATATATTTGGCAGTGTAGGAACAGAGAATATGAAATTCAAAGCATGATTGGTATGAATTGAGATTTCTTTTCCTGGGAAATATTATCTGCATCAGTGTTTAGCATATTATTTTACCTTTAAACACCTGCCGGGTAGGGAACCACAATTTTATTTTTGTTCCTTGAGTTGCTGATCAGAGCAATATTTTTTGTGTTATCCAGTTCTGCGCACAATAACTGAAGCCTGAAGACCTGTGTTTGGATGCTGTCATAGTTGGAAGAAAGGAATCTTGGCTACCATTGTTAACTGTGCTATTCCTTAGCTTTCTGATTACATGTAGGCTTACCATTTCCTTCAGTTCTTTTAATGTTAATCTTATCAAAATTGAAGTTTTACAAAACAATAGCATCTCCACTTTACGCTTCTTGGAATTGTAGTCATCATTCAACCAATGGATGTCAGAATTTTGCATGCACTCAAATGCAGATTTCAAGTAGCCTCTCCAGCATTGATGCAGCTGTAAAACCATCTAATAATTCTTGAAACATTTTAATATAAAATATGTTGTATGGACCATTGAAGGGTCATAGAGGACATTTTTGCTGATATTTTTAAAAATGCTTTGCTAATTTCAGATTGATGATAGTTGCATATTTGAAGTTTTGAGACATTACAAGTTAAAAGAGAAATTTTCCGATTTGAGAAATTTGAAGAAATACTAAATGCAGATAACTCAAATCTTCCTGTGGGATCGAAATGACCTAGTTATCACTTAATGCTAAAAGACTTTCCAGTGAGGGAATATGGCAAAATAAAAAGATATGATGTTTATGGGGAAAAACTGCAAAATTATGCAATTAATATAATATGTGAAGAAATATAGTTATGTAAATGTGAAATGAAGATGATGTAAGTGATGCTTTTATTGCAATGACAGTGTGCCAATCATCAATCAATCAATGAAATCTGTAGTATGGTTTAAATCCAGAAAATACTGCCACCATTAGTAAAGAATGTCACAGAGTTTGTTGATAATGAAAGGAAGCCAATTGTCTGTTTAGTGGAAACTCTCAACACTGCAATTATGTAATCTGAACTGTAGAATTTTGTAACTGAACAAGAAACTGTATCTCTATAAAATTAAAGGATTAGCCAAAAAAGGTATCAACTTAAATGAAATATTTTAACATTAAGCTTTCTTTTCTTTTTAAAAAAAATTTGGTTCCCTTAAGGCCATATAAATGAGTCATTACTTCACAAAACAACCATTTCATAATTTTAATTTTATGATATCCGTATATCATCTTACTAGATTTAAACTTATGATTTAAAATCTAGAACAACTTAAGGTTTGATGAATCTGGATTCTTCTGATGATTTTCAGTCTTAGTACTTTATGCATTTTATTATAGGCTGTTTTCTAGAAAGGTGTAAAATATGCTTCTCTAGTCAAATAGCCCTCTTTTCTTTGACAGCTTTGATCAGCCAACAAACTAATCTGCATAAAAGCTATTTGTTGAAGGCTGATGTTATGCTCCATTAAAAGAGAAGAATTATCTGTTGTTTACAGTTTAGCATTATTTTCATGAATTTTTCCTACATCTCGGTGTATAACTTCATAACTAAGCAAATAAAAGCAGTTGGCATTTTTGAGGTAGCAATAAGAATTCTCTGCTGGAATCATGCTTGTCATTTATCTGTTTTTTGTTCTTTGCTACACTGCTATTAAATCTAAAGATCACGAGAAATCATGAGGTACGTATCAAATCAAAATAATGGAGTTGGTGTCATCTATTAAGGGTACTAACCTTATTTACTATTTTAGTCTGTGAACGGTCTCTTGTGTGTTTTGAGGTACACAGTACATATATCTAGTTGTCTTTCATAAAGCCCTTTACATAGAAAGTCGTCATCTTTTAGTAGGTGGAGATATTCCCTTTCAGCTTGCTTTTAATGGTGCACTACTAAAAATTGAAAGCATTACTTTGGATTTTAAATGTGTAATTACTGTGCAAAATTCACATATGTAGTATAAAATGCTGTATTGATTTCAGATGTACCCCCCAAAAATGCATTAATATTCTGTTGAAGCAATTATAAAAGATATTTGACAATCTGACATGTGCTTAGAGTTGCAGTCATCTGAAATTTGTTAGAGTTATTCAGTAATGGAATAGAAGAAATAATTTAAATGATAGAAGTATATTCCAAGGTTGAAGGAAAGCTGGAGGTCAGTTGAAGATAAACAGATACGACAGTACAGCATAATGTGCACTGTAGTATCATACACATATTTTGGAATAATTATCAGAGGAATCAGATGGTTTCCAGAAGACATGGGTCTGGATTTATGCCAGTTGCATGTAACTTGTAATTGCTCAACACTTCGATCACAGACAGCACTTTCATTAGGTTCTGTCTTTCCATATACAGTAAAATATTTCAATAAATTTTGTCTTGTAGGGCTCCTAAGGATGGATTATATACACAGATATCAGTTGTTTCTATCCTTCTGTAAAATTCTTGATATAAGTTCAGCTCAAACCTGTACACGTCGTTAAGTAGAGTCTAAATCAACATCAGTACCTTTTTACTGTGATATAATAATTTCAAGAAACATTCTTGAGAGTTTCTGGAATGTGACTGTTATTAGAGAGGATAGCTGGCTAGTGTGGGAAGATATAGCAACAAGTGGCAGCAATGATTTCATCTTTTCTTCTGTGGATTAGGAATTGCTCATATACTGAGAAGTTCTATTCTTGTATATTCATCCATTTATTGATGCAAATAGATAAGTTCTGTATTAAGTGATGCCTGTACAGAATGCACAAAGTTTAGAGATGCCTACAGAATGAAATAATTCTTCATGAGCAATGGCCATCTTGATCCCCTAGACTTAAACCAGTGAGAGTACTTACTTCGAAGAAATTCTGCAGATTTTGTTTTCTTGCCTGTATACTCTTTCAAACTTTGACCTGTCTATCATACTGCTGCATAACTTGTCGAAAAATATGACTGCATTTGTGAGCTTTTTCACATTTCAGCTCATGGGCCTAGTGCATGCTGATAGACAAATATTCTTACATTTTAGTGATCATGCTGGTTTGGTATAAAAATGATCAAAAGAAATATTTTTCTTTTAATTATTTTATAGTGTCTTGCACTGATTGTTTACCCAGATGTATTCTGTAAATTTCTATGAAATATATGAATTAATTTTTGTTTTATTCACAATTTACTTGTTGCTTATACTTTGAGCAGTAGTATAGTTAGCTACGAGTTATAGTACTGATCTTTTCATTCCGCTTCATATTGAGAAAGTCAAGAAATAGACTTGTGGAAGATGTAGAAATGCTGGAGAATTTTGGTGATTTTCTTGATGACCTTTTGCTTTTGAACTGATTCCACATGTAAAGTAGACAGCACTGTAACTAACCATAATCATCATTTTGTCCCTGTTTATGGTGAGGCCATTTCTATCTCTCCAGCACCTTTCTGTTGTAATGAATCATGTAAACAGTTCTTTTATAACTCATAATTAATAGCTTTGACACAAGCATTTGTTGCGAAAAGAATATATAGAGAATGGACATTTTCAAATATGGAACATTATCAATGTGTC